GTATCTCTTGATCTCTCTTTTTATTTCTTCCCTGACCCAGTTATTCTTCAGTAGCATGTTGTTTAATCTCCATATATTTGTGGTTCTTCCCTCTTTCATTTTGCAGTTGATCTCTAGTTTCAAAGCATTATGATTAGAGAATATGGTTGGTATGATATCAACCCTCCTATATTTGTTGAGGCTATCTCTGTGTCCCAGTATGTGGTCGATTCTTGAGAATGTTCCATGTGCACTAGAGAAGAATGTATGAGCAGCTGTTTTGGGATGGAAGGCTCTGTGAATGTCAGTTATGTCCAGTTGGTCTAATGTGTCATTTAAGGATGTTATTTCCTTACTGATTTTCTGTTTGGATGATCTGTCCATATCCTACAGTGGGGTATTTAAGTCCCCTACTACGATATTGTTTTGGTCTGTTTCTCCCTTCAGTTCTGTTAGTAATTGCTTTACATGTTTTGAGGCTCCCTGATTGGGAGCATAGATATTAATAAGTGTCATGTCTTCTTGGTGTATGATTCCCTTTATCATTATGAAGTGTCCTACAGTATCTTTCCTTATCTTTTTTATTTTGACGTCTGTTTTGTCCTTTTGTCCGATATTAGTACCACTACTCCCGCTTTTCTCTGAATGCCATTTGCTTGAAATACCATTTTCCATCCTTTTACTTTTAGTCTATATTTGTCTTTGGAACTGAGGTGTGTCTCCTGGAGGCAGCATATAGGTTTTATTTTTTGATCCAATTTGCCACTCTGTGCCTTTTTATTGGTGAGTTCAGTCCATTTACATTTAGAATGATTATTGAAATATGAAGTTTTCCTATGACCATCTTATGTATTGCTTTCTCTTAATTCAGTGTTTCCATTGCTTCCTTGTCCTTTTTTTTTTTTTTTTGGTTGGCTTTTGTGCGTTTTCCCTCTGCTCCCTGAACTAAGGCTGTACATAGGAAAATTCGACTGGAACCCAAAGATACAATTTGATCCATTTAAGTATCCCTTTGTATTTGCACACACACACACACACACACACGTATATATATAGTTCATTTTTTTCTTCTTCTGCCTTAACTCCATTCCTCTTTGAGAATTTGGATCTTTGAATCCTTCCCTTTTCAGTCATTATTATCTCAATTTGTCCCTATGTATGCTGAACATTCATTACTATCTCGCTATAGCAAATCTTTTTTATCATTTAAGCTTGTAATGCCCCATTTTTAGTAAGGGTTGCACTCCTCGGCTTCTACCTGCCTGATAGTTGCCTTACTCCTAGTTATGTATTTTTTTTTCCGTCATTTTGTTTTAGATGAGCTGACTCCTTTTAGTATTTCTTGTAGTGCAGGCCTCGTACTGGAGAATTCCCTCAATTTTTGTATTTGGAAAGGTCTTTATTTCTCCTTCATATCTTAAGGGGTGCTTAGCTGGATACGTATTCTTGGCTGGTAGTTCTTTTGTTTAATAGTTTTTTTATTTGATTCCACTCCTTTATGGCTTAATAGGTTTGTGCTGAGAAGTCCGATGATAATCTCATGGGTTTTCCTTTATAAGTTACCATCTTCTTTTCCTTGGCTGCTTTTAGAATTCTTTCTTTGTCATTGATTTTTGAGAATTTTAATACACAGTGTGTCTTGGAGAAAGCCTTTTTGGGTTGAGATAATTGGGTGTTCTGTTGACTTCTTGAATTCCCACCTCTAGCTCATTCCTTAGATTTGGTAAATTCTCGTCAACTATTTGTCTGCAAATGCTTTCTAATCCCTGCTTCTTTTCCTCCCCTTCGATTATGCCCATTATTCTTATGTTTCCTCTCCTGATGGTATCAGCTAGTTCTTGTATTTTTCTTTTATTATTTTTATTCTTCTGTTTCTTCTTCCTTCTAATTTATTTCTAGATTTCTGCCTTCGACATCACTGATCCTTTCCTCCATTTGGTCCACTCTATTTCTCAAGCTTGCTATTTCATTTTTCATCTCTTTCAGTATGTTCTTCATCTCCAGAAGTTCTATTTGGTTCTTTTTGAGGGTTTCAGTCTCCTTGCTCTGCTCATGTAGTTGTTTTTTCAATTCCTGAAATTGTTGATTTTAATTGTTTTGGATCTCACTGAGTTTTTTCAGAAGTACCATCTTCAGTTCTCTGTCACTTAAGTCACATATTTTAATGCCTTTAAGCTTGTTTTCAGGAGATTTTTCTCTTTCTTTTTGAGCTGCCATGTCACCTTGGTTGTTCATGGTGTTTAATGGACTATTTCTCCACCTGGGCAATGATGGAGATGTATTCTGCTCACTCCCCTCCCCCAGAAAGATTTATTATATAAAAGTCTCTCTTTAGCCTGTTACAAAGAAGGTGTTTTTCTTTTGGTTTTCTGTAGATGGCATGTAAGCCTCTTGGATCCCTGCTTAATATAAAGTCTTTGAGATGCCTTTTTTTTCCTTATAGATATTCAGTCACGCACACTACCCTGAGTCTCAGCCTCTTTCAGTATGATGGTTTCAGTAGCGTTTGCTCAGATTCCCCTGGGCCTCTGCGGAGTTTGTTCTTGGAGGAAATGGGGGGAGGTGCCCTATGGGTTGAGGTATAGAGGCTGCAGCTCAGCCTCGCATTTTGCAACCATGGCTTCTCTGCCCTCCTCATTTCTCTTTCTGCCATAATCCCTGGGCTGTGCCGTGGGTCACATGGAGCTCGCAGCTCTCCCAGGTAGCGTTGCTCAGGGAACCTGTGGCACTTTCTTTCCTCCCCCTCCTCCTGCAGGAAGCTCCAGCTGCAAGAGACAGCTTCTTTACCCTGCCACACTCAGGGGTTCTGACCTGTGGTAGCTCTTATGTGTAGATCTCACGCTCAGACATGCTCGTGTGAAGTTTGGGTATTTTTTGTTGAGTTTTAGATGTTCAGCTTATTGTTGTTTCAAGGGGAGACATCTGGGGATGTCTCTTACTCATGTTTCCGACATCCTTCGTTTTAAAGTATTTTAAGTAACTTTCTTTTTTATATATTAACTTTATGTATAAGGTATGTTTTTACCCCATGTGTATTTTTCCACATGTATAACTTACAGTTTGTTCTGTGTTGATAATGACTTAGTCGTTTACTTCTTTTGCCTCTTCAGATTCAAACTATCATGTTTCTGTTTGCATTTGTTCTCCCTCTGTGCCCCTTTTTATTTTTAAATAAAATCTTTACTCCTTAAGTTGGACTTTTCAAAACCGATATTTTTTGTTCTTGTGGTGAAATAATTCTTTTATTCTAAGAATTGTGATGGAAGGCAAGCTAGAAGTTCTTTACAAGCCTTTGATTAGAACGTGAAGAATAAAACTATACAAATTCTTGGTTATGAAAATAAATGAATAAAAACTAAGAATGACAGTTTTTAGAAGAATAATGTATTAGAGTAAACATGCCAGGTAGCCATTTTTCTTGTGAAAAGATCTAGAATTGATGTTTATAAATATGAATGCATTACAGTGTGATAGCAGCAGCCTTGAGATTTTTTGGACAGTGAGTGGTGTTCTGAGTTCTTATGGCCAAAAATGTTTATTATGTTTTGCTTTTATGGGTAGGTATCTTTGTCTGTCTAGATGGAGATAATTTTTTACATTCATAAAGCTTATATATTTATAAAATCCTTTTGTATATATTTCCTATTTAATCTTTACATAAACTTCATTTTACAGCTGAAATTGGAGATCTGAAAGTTTATTAGTTATCAAGGTTGCAGAGTTTAAACTTGAACCTAGGTCATTAGTTATCAAGATTGCAGAGTTTAAACTTGAACCTATGTCTTCTGGACTTGTACGCTTCCCACTTTCTTGTAGCTGTAACATATTTACCTGTAATATAACATTTTTATGTTTTCTGTAACATGATTACAGAAAATTTAATGGAGGAATTTAAAGTTGGATTTTCAAAAAGTATATGCTATGACAAGCAAAAAATTCCAGGAAGAGCGAAAAGTAAGTCAGAAGTTCGAGACAGGTGTGTAGTTTAGGACAGCAGTTCTGTCACAAAAATGCTTTTCTTTGTGCTTATATAATGGTTTGTGTTTGCTTTGTTTGCTTGGAATGTTTGGATGTGGAGTGGTAGGTAACTACATTTATGTTGACAGTCACTGTTGTCTTGGCTGTGAGATCGTTTTTGTTTCTGTAGATGTTTTATATGACTTCACACGTTCGACTTTATAATATTTTATTGGGATGTGTAAGGGCAGGAGATATGTATGGGAAATCTCTGTTCAACTACTCTAAAAAAGTCTATGAAGTCTGCAAATAAATATAGTTAGGAATAAAGTGTGAAAACTTGAATCATACTGTATTAGTTTTATTTCCTGAAAGCTAATATAATTTCATCCTGAAAAATACTTATATTTTGCAACCATAATAGATTTATAGTATATCATATTCTTTATATACACCATTAAAATTCTGAAGTTATTATAATCTATGTGGTTAGAAGTAAAGATCATGGTTACCCTGAGTAACCATGTGCTGCATAAAGTCTGGAAGGAAGCACAGAGGGATTCTGAGGTGCTGTTCATTTTGTAAAAATTGAGCTTTATACTTACATGGTTTTTTTGGTATGTATATTATACTTTAATAAACTTCAGTTGTGATTTTAAATGATATATAAATAGTTTATTTTTAAGGATGTGTGGTTACTTAGAAAATAATAGGTTATTATGTGTCTAAGCTCCAGCTATTTGGAGTAACATGGCTGGATGACAGCCTATAATAGGATTTTAAGGACTTTAAACATCAAAACATAAGAGTAGCAAACTAATTTTTAAAGTAGGAGAACAGCTTAATTTATTATATAATTTAAGTTATATGTGAACATATGAGGACCTTATTTAGCTTATTTACATCTGTACTCTAAACCTTTTCTTATACTCAGCAACAAATATTCGTCAATGAATCCCTGTTTAGTTTGCTCTACCATCAACTGTTCTCTCATCTGCTTTCAGTATTAATCACTTTTAAAAAAGCACTTTGTCAGTCTGGTAGGTGAGAATGTTTTGTTTGAATTCATATATTTTTTTATTATTGAGTGTAAGTTGTTAAATACATGGGTTTAATATTTGTGAGAATTATCTATTTAAGTAGTCTAGACCTGAGTTGTTTTGAGTATGGTAGCCACTAGTGTCATGTGGCTATTGAGTATTTAAAGTGGAACTACTTTGAATTTTGCTGTTAAGTGTAAAATATACACTGAATTTTGAAATCTTACTATAAAAAAAGTAAAATATCAATTATTTTATAGTATTCGTTCCATTTTGAAATGATGTTTGGATATATTGGTTAAATAAAGTATATTAAAATTAATTTCACCCATTTCTTTTTGTTTGTAATGTGACTGCAGGAAAAATTTAAATTTACAAATGTGGTAAACATATTTCTATTTGTCAGTGATGATATAAACAGTAATATACTCATTAGGTGATTAGGAACTAAATGATGGTAATATTTATACTTAGAAAGGAAAGTAAGGAGGGATTTTAAGAAATTATGCAGTATGCATATATACTATATAATCTCAGTTAAGTAGAAGCATATTTTATGGTTTTTGTATGCTTCCGTCATGGCTTCGTAATCAATAGTACGCTTCTGGAGGGCAAAGACTACGTCACTATTTAAAAATTCTCCTCTACATTTTTTTGCTGGGTGCATGATTGAATAAACAAGAATTAATAAGACATCAAATAATTTTATCAGCTCAAAGTTTGAATTTTTAGAATTCAGACAGTGATTCTTAGAGTTCTTATACCATTTGTTTTAATATCATAATATCAGCTAGCCACATCAATCATACACTTTTTAGAAGGTGCAAGGTTATGGGAACTAACATCTAGTCTTATGTATAATAGGCACTGGTAGTCATTTAATATCTTTCTTCATTGAGTCTTTATAATAACCTGTGAGAAAGATATCAACCACCATTTTACAGATTAGGAAACTGAGTCTCAGTAATTTTTCCAGTGTTATGTTACCAATCTAGATATGCCCAACTTCAAAGCTAGCACTTTTTCCACTGTAGTTTATTGTATCAATTAAAGTTAGCCAATTATTTTAAGTGATTTGAAGTTAGTCTAATATTATGGTTGACTTGAAGTGAAAAATAATCTTTAGAATGAAATGTGTGATAAATTTTGACAGTTTATGACATGTGATTATGTATTTTATGTTCAATATGTGAAAGGAAATTTAAAAATGTTTCCCAGAACCTGAGAGGAAGAAAAATGTCATTTTTTCTCATTCTGATTTTCTTGGTGCATTATAATTCTAGACACTGCACTATAGTTCATGGAAAAAAAATAAAATTGTAAAATAAATTAAAACATTTTCTTTATTTTGTCTTTTAGATAAACTCAAAGTTAAAGAGAGAGATAAGGAAAAAGAGAGAGAAAAAAAGAAGCATAAAGTAATGAATGAGATCAAGAAAGAAAATGGCGAAGTCAAGATTTTGCTGAAAAGTAAGTTTATAAAATTCAGTGATTTTAGTCGTACTATATTATATTCAGTATACTCGTTGGCTTAGTGATTAAAATAAATGTTAGTGATTAAGAAATAAGGTGCTGAATTTTGTTGAGAATAAATATTAATGGTCAGGATACAAAAAGTAAATGTAATAGTAGGGAGTTGTAAAAATAGGTGTCTTATTCTGTGTTTGTATTACTAGTCTTCATATTTAGATAATCTAAAATGAAAGGCTAAAGCAATTTTTATCATGATAAGAGATGGTGTAGGAAGTGATCTTACAAATATTTGACAGTAATCGTATCATAGTCTGGGATGTAAAGGGAACATTTTACTCAGCTAAATTATCTGTTTTATTGTTTCTTACATGCTTAAGAATATCTCCTTTTTGTTTTCTGTTTTTTCTCTATTGTTACTGTTGTTTTTAGTTGCTGATTGTACATGAGGGTAGACCTTTGGGTAATAATACAAATCTTATCAGTAAATCTGAACTATTTCAGAGAGAATTTGTGGTAGAATAGAAGTAAAGGCAGTCTTAAATTCACTCAGCAAGATAAGACCAATCAGTGGCATTTGGTTGCTAGACAGCTAACAAATTCATTGGCCTGACCTATCAAGTTGACAATTTGCAGAGCAGAACATGTTGACTTTGATTAATTTCATATTGAATTTGTATTGATAAGCCTTTCTATCTCCATAAGGGAGAAAAGGGCTAGCACCGCATTTGCAACAAAACAACTGGTTAATTTATATTATTTTGGATAAACAGAGTTTTAGATTCTGTATTTTCATTTCATTTTCTGTCATGTTTCCAGATGTTCTTTGGTAGCAGTTTATTTAAACTCTGTTTTCTACTTGTCACAGCTTTATTTTCTGTAAAATTGTTTTGACCTTGAAGAAACATGTCAGGGGTTAAACTGATGGCCACTTAGTTAATGCTCATCTTCCTTTTGTTCTCTTTTGCCAGTGTGTGTTATCTGTATTGTTTAATTAGATTGTAAGCCTTTGAGGCAGGAACTGAATCTAACCACACCAGTGCTGTATAGCAGCTAATGATTAATGCTTGAAATGTTTATTCTACCCTTGGTTAAAGGGTTTGGTTTAGTAAATACTCATTTTTTTACTGGTTTAGTCATTTTCTTACCCATTTGAATGTACAGTGATGTAAATTGCTGTCACTCGGTTGAATGTTAGATTCCTACCAAACCATTACTGTAAAATGTGTGTGTGAACCTAGAGATTACATATGCAAACAAAATTTAAAATAGCCTAAAAAAATGGAGATTTTTAAAGTAATATTCAATGGTAACCTTGACTTTAAAGTAGATGAAATATTTAGGAGATATTTTGAATCGAGTTAAAGTGAAACCTAGTGATAAGGAAAAGAAAACGAGGTGGATTTAGAAATGAATTGGTGACCTTTGGGATGACAGTGGGAAAATGTGTTTACTGTAAAATTGAGATAAATAATAATAATTACTGCCTTACAGAGTTGTGAACATTAAATGAGATAAAATATGTGGAAAGTGCCAACTACAGTGTCTGGCCCACAGGTATTCAATAAGTAGATGAGAATCTTTCTTGTAAACATGTATGAAAGATTCTCTTGTGATTAAAAAACAACAACAAAACTCCTCAGTGTGTAGTGTATAGATAATTACATGAATAAAAACATGATTCATTTTGGGAAACAGTGCCTGTCCCATCGTGAGCACTATGTTAACTGTTGTTAATATCCAGCAAAAACAATTCGCTCTGCTTGTGGCCATTTCCCAAGTGAGCCTGTATGATAGAGAAAGGCATCCTTCGCTATTGGTGTCTTTGAGCAACAACAAAATCAATTTGGTAGGGGCAGTTCACTGTTATTTACTACTGTATGCCCTGTTTTCCTTTATGGCCTTAGATTTTTATTCTCTCCTTACAGTCTTCTCTTTCTTGATAATGCTAATGTCACAAGCTATGGCACACGCAAGCATTGATTGATTGATGATAGCACTTGAATATCTAAAATAGATGCTAACTCTTCCTTCGCAACAGTCTCATTTCCTACAGGTTTTCATTTAAAACTGCATCATGTTGAATATGATCAGAGGTATATGTACACACATAATTATATATATGCTAAAAGTTTTTATTAATGCAGAAATCTTGTAAATGTCTATCACAGATAAAATAGGATTATTTGCTTTATTAAAAATAGTATAAAGGAACACATTTGAAACATAAGCTTATTTAGCTCATCCTTTTGTGCCTAATGTCTACCAGTTCCTTTTTTCTGAGCACACTTACATGTTCCAGCCATTTTTTTGTTATTAATAAGTTTTAAGAACATAGATGTTATGATTATAGTATGTTTGAGAATACATTTTATAGTTATAGCATATCAGAGAAGCTTGCCAGTGAGCAGTTGGAATGAGGGTTAAAGGAACTAATGTCCAAGGTTATTGATAGTGTACTAAAGGTCACAGGTAGGTATTTCATGGCAGGAAGAGTGAAAATATTGTGCTGCGAAAAAAGCAGTCATTCTCCAAAGACCAAAGGTTAAAAATAGCTAAGCTAATTGCTACTTTTTTTCTATTTATGATAATAAAGTTATATGTATTAATTCCCATATTAGATATGAAATCAGATCCAATTTTTCCTGGCAACTTTTATTATTTTTTATTAGCACAAAGTATACTAAGGTTAATGGTGGAAATTAATGCCAGTGAATTTGTGATTTTTTAAGTTGTTTGTTTTTAATATAATTAGCCATTAACAACATATGCTGTTTTGTATCTTTGTGTGTGTGATTGGTTTTTTCCTGTCTCTGTGTCTTTCTGGCTGCGTGTGAGTTTGCATCTCTTTCTCTGTCCGATTCTCTCTCTGGCTCTCTCTGTGTGCATCCATGGTGCTCTGTGTATGTGTATCTGGGGTCCACTGTGTGCATGTGTCTGGATCTGTGGGAGGAAGGTCCCCCATCAACATTTTACATTTATATTTTTTGAAGGTCCAAATTACTTAGAATTCTATTCCTTCCGTTATGGAAACTTATCAGGATACTTTAAAAAAACAAACAAACCATAAGTCTGATTTATTGGACTCTGTTTGAAGGATTATAAATTTAGGATAATGTGTACTTGAAATATCTTTTAGTATAAGAGAAGACCATTGATATTCAAAATGGTCTTATTTTTAAATATATTTAATAATTTCCTACATATATATTTGCACTTTGTATGTCATTCCAAGATAGGAAATGAAAGAGGTTATATAAAACTTTAAAAAAGTTTTCTAGTGCCTCTGTTTAGTTTAAATATAAAGAATGAATTTTACCTGTGTCCATCGAGACTACCCCCAGTTTTGATGATTTGCTAGGATTCACAGGACTCACTATATAGTTGACTTGTGGCTATGATTTATTATAGTGGAGGATGCAAAGTAAAATCATTATAGAGAAAAGGCACATGGGGCAATGTCTGGAGGAAACCAGGCAAAAGGTTCCAAGAGTCCTCCCCTCTGCTAGTAGAGTCACACAGTATGCACTTAATTCTTCTGGCTGTGAATTACACAACATGTGTGAAATATTGTCTACCAGGGAAGCTCATTAGAGACTAAATACCCAGGGTTTCTATTGGAGTTGGTCACATAGGCTCCCTCTCTCTAGCATATAACAAAATTCCGGACTCCCAGAAGGAAAACGTGTTCAAAATAAACCACGTTGTTTGCACAAACAGTTTAGGCACAATGAGCCACTCTTATTGGGATGATGGGCGACCCTTTCCAACATACAAGTTCTCAGATACCAGCCAAGGGCCTACCTTGCAAGCAGGCCTTTCTATAAGGATAGCAGTCTCAGGAATGTTATAAAACTCTACATACTGTATTCACTTTAGTATTTAATTACAGAGTAGTTTGTCATGGGAATTTAATTCCTTGATGTTCAGCATAAGAATCTCTTGACTTATTTCTTATTAGTTTGCATTTTTCAGTTTCTGACTATTATATTACCTTTTCCATCCATTCTTATGATTAAGAAATACGCTGTTGTGCCTATTTTATTTCAGAGTAACATGTAGTAATGACTGGGTATTTTCAAACTTCAAAAAAATGTGTTAGGCATATATGTAATAGGATATTAAGCTTATATTTTCATTCAAATGAAATCTGTTTATTTTGGCAAACCATTTAATTTATGTGATATTACATGTATTTTCAATTTAGTAATTATACCTAAGTCCTTTAAATTATTTTTTCTGTTTCTTAATTGACCACTGTTTTTTGTCCTTAACTCATTTGGATTTTGCTTACATATATAAACCTCTTTTTTCTTTCATTTTAATTAACTTCCTTTTTATTTTTTCCATTATTTGTTATGAAGATATTAACCTGACTGATGTTTTAATAGTTCATACCAAGGTGGCAAGTATGAATTTGTTAATGTATTTCTTAACTTGTTGCATGTAGACCTATTAGAGAATTAACACTTAGGATTTTATGACTTTACAAACCTATATAATCAATAATGTTGACAGATTTTTATTTTTGCTATTTATGATGATACCAATTTGGTCTTCATTGCATACTAACAAATTTTTGGAAGTCATAATTTATTATTAACATTAAACTTCCCTTTTTTAGAATTGCCATCAACGTGAATTTTTGTGGTTGTTGTTTTCAGGGTTAGGATTTAGTGGTATTCATATGGTAGAAACTGACTGAAAAGGAGACATGGGGAAAACCTATAAATATCTCAGGTAGTCTGTTGATGAGGGAAATCTTTTCATTCATAGATTCATTAACTGTGCATTTGTAGCAAAATTCTAGATACATGATTGCGGGGGAAGGTATCATTTCACTCTGAATTTATTTAAAAGTTATTCGTTCTACCCATACAGTGTCCCAAAGGACATATGATATACAGGTATCCTATGAGTGAAAAAATAATAACTTTATGTGACTATATCACATATTCATATACATGGAATATGTAACAAATTAATATGAATTTAGAGTGAAGTGATTTCAGTTCCAGCTAGAGAGATAAAGGAAAGCAAAATGAAGGAAATGACATAGAGTTATTTTTAAAGGATGGGTAAGAAAGAGTTCAGTAGTAAATATTGGACATGGCAGGCGTATTTTAGGGACAGGAAATGCCTTTGTCAGTAGTAGAAAGATAAGATCCAATTAGGTATATCTTATAAGAAATTATAAGTAGCGCAGATTGACCAGAGTATTAGGTACTAGAGGGCATTGTTTTTGGATTCCAGACTAGAGAGGTTAGATTTTGTTTAGTAGGCATTGAGAGCCCTTGAAAGCAGTTGAGTCAAGGGATGAATATGATCAAAACAATATGTAAAATTTATAGAAAGATTTAATATGGCTCCAGCATTCAGTATGAGAGATAATCATGAGGCAGTTGACCAAAAATTAAGGCAATAGTATTAAGGAAGTTGGAAGTGAAAAATAATCAAAGATGAGCTGGATAATTTTGTCAAACCTTCTGAAGATCAGGAAGAATAATTTGAGAGAATGTCATTGATATTTGAACATTCTGGGAAAGAAAATTTTAGTAGACTAGAAGCAGACCCAGAACTTAAGAAATAAGAATGGTAAGGTGAAAAAGAAAAGGCGCTGGTTGTAGACTGTTTTTTGATAAGTTTGATGATCTAAGAAGAGAAGAGGAAAGAGAACTATTAAGCACGTGTTTTTGGAGTTGGTGGGAGGGACTTATTTTTGGAAAGTAGGCAGGACATCTTACTGGAGACAAAGGAATGAAAGAAATACATGGAGATGGAAAGAAGTAGGTTGGGAAGATTTAACTCATGGCAGGCTGTCTAAAAAAGTAAAATAACAAGTGAAAACAGTGAATGCTTAATTTTCTCAACTGTTAGTTTAATGGCTTTTTCATATTAGGAAGCATAATTTTTTATGAGAATGTTTACTTTTTTCTACTTTTTTTATTGTGTAGAAAGATACTATGATAATGTTAAGTGTTTATATGTACACTTAGATTCTATAGCTAGAGAGTCTCTCTGGATTAATCTTTTATTCTTTAGAGTTCTTAATTTCTGAGTCCAGAATCTACTTTCCTTTGGTTACAGAAGGTCATTAATATATAAGCTTATAAATTCTCCATATCATTTTTCCTTTTTCCTTTTTAATTCACCCCTTTATCAGTACATGTGTATCATTTGTGCTTAAGAAATGAGAAGTTATTCTAATTTCGTTATCTCCTTTATGGTATCTTGTGAGGTCTTCAGTGGGAACTTCGTAAACTCTAGCGGTCTTAAAGCAGCTCATTTTAGAGGCAAGAATAGTTTTCTAAGGAGGAAATATGGTAAAAAACTAAGGAATTGCTGTGTTTGTTGCTGTTATATTATGCAAGTATTTTCCTCCTTTATGATTTCTAAATCTTGACATTATATGCCATTTTTAAGAACTTAGATAAATTAAAAAAGATGATATCTATCTATATCTGTATCTATATATATCAGTGGAAAACATCTGGAGGCCATTGTTCATATTGACCTTTGTTCAACTTTTCATTTCTGATTTTCTACATTTAAAATTTGAAGACGATGCTTTCAGAAACATTCATTACTTCAGTAAACACTGAATGAGCATCTGCATGTCAGAAAGGTGTAACTTTGTCTTAAGCCTGTGTGTGTGTAGAAAAGACAAAGAGACTGACTAAAATATAAACTTGATTCTGGGTAAACTTTATTATAAAACAGTTCCTAAAGCATGTTTTTTTAAGTAACCAAAATAAGGAGTTTCAAAAAAAATTTTTCCCAACAGGTGGAAAGGAGAAGCCAAAAACAAACATAGAAGACTTACAAATTAAAAAGGTAAAGAAGAAAAAGAAAAAGAAACACAAAGAGAATGAAAAACGGAAGCGTCCAAAAATGTATAGCAAATCTATTCAAACCATCTGCTCAGGATTGCTATCTGATGTTGAAGATCATGAAACCAAAGGCATCCTAAATGATAACATAAAGGATTACAGTGGAAAGAATTTGGATACCAAGAACTATGATTCCAAAATTCCAGAGAACAGTGAGTTTCCATTTGTCTCATTAAAGGAGCCACGGGTTCAGAATAACCTCAAAAGGTTGGACACTTTGGAGTTCAAACAGCTCATTCATATTGAGCACCAGCCTAATGGAGGTGCATCAGTTATCCATGCCTACAGTAATGAACTCTCCCACCTGTCTCCTATGGAGATGGAGAGGTTTGCAGAAGAGTTTGTGGGTCTAGTGTTCAGTGAAAATGAAAACTCTGCAGCTTTTTATGTAATGGGTATTGTTCATGGGGCAGCTACCTATTTACCTGACTTTTTAGACTACTTTTCATTTAATTTTCCCAATTCACCAGTGAAAATGGAGATATTGGGAAAGAAGGATATAGAGACAACGACTATGTCCAATTTTCATGCTCAGGTAAGAGGATTTTAGTTTTTTAAAAAAGAAACTTTTTAATTATACATTTTACACAAGCTTCTGTTCTTTGTTTCTCATTTCGCTATAGGTTTGAAATAAAAAGGTAAGACTATAATGAAGCCTCTTGGGAATATTAAGAATAAATTACATTCTTGATGTGAACATCATAATTTAAATGTTTCTATTTATCTTTTTTCTTAAAAGTAATTAAGATTCTGTTGTCCTTTGTTGCAAGAATTTATCTTGGAAATGAAATGAATAAGATGAATTTAGCCATGTAGTTTGCAGTTCTTACAATAGTTCTCTTACCTAAAAATCACCTAAAATTATTTTCTTGGTTTATGTGATAATGCCTTAAAAGTGCTTAGCATTGGATCCATCACATAGTAGATGCTGAATAAATGCTGGCTATTAATATATTTTACAAGGGAATCAGTTAATTGTCTGACTGTGAGAAAGTTTACATGTCAGTGCATATATTGAGCTAATTTCCATTACCAGTCTTTCTCCATGGTGTAGAATGGATATTATTTTAGAAAGCAGAGGCAGAATCAGGTCTGCTGGCTTTTGAAAGTGAATGCGGGCCCACCTAAACAGCCAGTGCTATTGTCACCTATTTCAGATCAGGGACGGCTTAGGCCAAGAGATTAACTAAGTTTTCACATTTATTGTTGCTAAAATGTCTGATTTTCTAAGGAATAATTGACATTATTCTAGTTCGGAGGGAGGAAAAAAGCAAAGAAATTCTCAAAGGGATCTTAGTGATCATCTATCCAACCTTTCTCAACTTACAGTTAAGCAAACAAACAGAGGTAGGAGTAACTTACTGTTTAAAGGTTGGCAGCAGTGCCAGGAGTAGAACAAAATCTTAATCTTTATCCAGGAATCTTTTCCTTATTCTGAGTGTGTGGGTGGGTGGGTGTGTGTGTGGGGGTGTGCGTGCGTGCGTGCACGCCTATTATTTGATGTATTCAAGTTACAGTTTCTACCTTAAGTGATAGTCTGGATGTCCAGTCACATCCACACATACCAAACCTCCCTTTAATATGGTAGTATTAAAGTTTTAATGTATTGAGGAATTATTCCCTAATATAACATGTTTGAGAATTGGAATTTAAATATGTTTTTAGAGGAAAGAGAGTATAGAGTATCCATCGTTAGCCCTGTTTTCTAGGATTCCAGAATGGTTAGTAATTTGTCAGAGGTTATACCTGAGTTTAGTGGTAGAACCAGACTGACATCTAGTAATAGTGTCTGCTATTTATTGAGTACTGACTGTGTCAGGAACTGTTCTAAGCACTTTATAATTAATAACTCATTTAATTTTCATTACAGTTTAACTTTAGCAATGAGGAAGCAGATACAGTGAAAGAAAAATAACTTGTCCACAGTCCTTTGGTACTAGATCATTTGTCATTTATTATGTCTAAGTGCCAGGTTTTGCGGTAGGCCTCTTGACTTCCAATCCCATTCTTTTCCACTATATCATACTTTCTCGGGGGTGTACTATGCAAGTTTATTTTAGCCATCTTTCAAGTGTTATAATTCTTATATTTGCTTTTATTTTATTTTTATTTAGTTTTTACTTTTTATTTTTTATTTTTTAAATTTATTTTTATTTTTCTCTATATGCTTTTTTATTTTTTACTTTTAATTTTATTAAGTTTATTGGGGTAATATTTACTTTTCATATAGCTTTTAAGGTTAAGAATCGTTAATTTTTATTAAATGATAAGATTTTTCATCTTAACTATGTAATAAGTACAACATGAAAACCATGCTTTTGTTATTAAATGAAATGACATGGTGAGAGTCCTTAATCTTGCCAGTATGTGGATAGGTGGGTCTCAAGTCCTTCTGAGAGCTGCCGACCCTGGTGCTTGGCTAATGCGTACTGTAGCACAGAGGAAAACCTAGGCAGATGTATCGTCTTTGTTACCAGCTGTGGCTCTGGCCCGCTTCTATGCCACCTGTCAGCTGTAAGGACTGCTTTTACTAGTTTAGCTTTAGACTGAATGGTAGGAAGTTGCCTGTGCAAGGTCCATGTTCCTTTATTCCAAGACCCTTCATACCCACTCATTCATATAGTATAGGGAAGAATATCTAATGAAAAGCTGTCCTGAACAGTTCATTTGATAGTTCCCCCACACTAAAGCCTTAATTTGTTTGTTTTTCTTTTTAAGAGTTTAGGAGACTACAGAAGTGTTTTCTGTGACTGGAAGGTAGCTTTGGGTTTGTCCTTACACACTGGCTTTATGAAACTAAATGGGATCCAAAGGAGAGCAGTAGGAGAAAAATTAGCATACTTATTGTTATTTAGTTTTATGTCAGATTTTTTGACTCTTCCACTAAAGCTCCATCTCTTAGCCTAATTTGTGGTATCCCTTCAGGAAGTGATTTTTTTTTTTTTTTTTTTTGGTTATCTTGCTCTTCATTTTTTTAAAAATTTATTTAAATTAGTTTCAGGTATACAGTACATTGGTTAGACATCTATATAGTTCATAAAATGATACCCCCAATTGCTCCCTCCTTCCCCTGGCCCTCCACCTAGCCATCATATTAATGCTAACTACATTCCCTGTGATGTGCTCCCCATTCCTGTGACCGTCCATCAGCTACTAATCTGTACTTCTTTAACCCTTCACCCCATTCTCCCATCCCTCCAACTGCTCCCCACTGTCTGTCACCAAATTGTCCACTGTATTTGCGAGTCTGTTTTTGATTAGTTTGTTCTTTTTATTCCTTAGATTCCACATATAAGTGAAATCATGTAGTGTTTATCTTTCTCTGTCTGACTTAAATACCTCCTAGGTCCATCAAAGCAATATTTTTCCATCCCCTTCCTTTTAGTTTGTGTGTGTCTACTCATCTGAAGTGAGTCTTTTGTAGGCAGCATATGTAGGGGTCTTGTTTTCTTATCTTTCATCCACTTTATTCTTTGGTTGGAGCACTTAATTTTTTTTAGGTACTTATTGATAGGAATGTAGTTGTTACCATTCTTTATTCCTGTTTTTGATACATGTTTTTTCTTCTTAAAGAAGTCCCTCCAATATTTTCTGTAATACTGCCTTGGTAGTGATAAATTCCTTCAGCTTATTTTTGTCTGGGAAGTTCTTTATCTGTCTTTCAACTTTAAATGATAACTGCTGGATAAAGTATCCTTGGTTGTAGATCCTGGGTCTTCACGTCGAATATTTTGTGCCAAGTCCTTCTGTTCTGCATAGTTTGTTGAGAAATCAGCTGCCAGTCTTATGGGTGTTCCCTTATAAGTAACTATCTGTTTTTCTCTTGCTGCTTTTAATATTCTTTCTTTGTATTTAACCTTTGGTGTTTTATTTATGACGTGTCTTGGTGTGGGCCTCTTTGCATCTCTGATTTTTGGAATTCTCTGAGCTTCCTGGGGTTTTATGTCCATTTCCTTCACCAGGTTAGGGAAGTTTTCCATCATTATTTCTTCAAACAGCTGTTCAACATCTTGATTTCTTCAGGTACTCTGATCTGATAGATATTTGGACCCTTAATAGTGTCCCATATGCCCTTAAATAATTTTTATAGTCTTGGCATCTTATCTCTTGCCATTGTGATTGAGTGTCCTTGGCTTTCCTGTCCTCTAGATAGGATGTTTGAATCCTTTTCTTTATTCACTTTATTTATTCTTTTGTTTATTCCATTTAACATACTTCTCATCTCAGATAATCTCTTCTTCATTTCAGACTGGTTCCGTTTTATATTTTCCATTTTTATATTTTTTATTTCTTTGTTGAAGTTCTCACTGAATTTATCTACATTTCTCAAAAGTTCATTGAGCATCTTTATAACCAGTGTTTTGAACTCTGCACCTGTTAGATTACTTGACTCCATTATATCTGGATCTCTGTTCTGTTCTCTCACATGGTTTCTGCTTCTTTGTCTTCCCATTTTGGCTGCCTTTTGTGTCTATTTCTGTGTACTAATTAAAGCTCCTAAGTCTCTCAGTCTTATTAGTTTGGATTTGTGAAGTAGTGTCCAGTGGCACAGTCCTGAGAGGGGTTCAGCTGCAGGCCAAATTTAGCCCAAGCTGTGCCCCTCCGGGGCTACTTGTTGAAATTCAGCAATCAATTCCATGAATGCTGTGCTTATAGTTGCTTGAAAAAGCCACACTAGAAACCGAAGCCAGCTGCCTCTGCTGTGAGTCTAGGCACTGCTTAGCAAGGAGCACCTGACTCACTGAGGGTACACCTGAATGTGGCTCGGGTGAGGCCGCGTGTTGAGGGAGGTGGAGTTTCAGAGAATCCTCTGGGCAGAGCAACCTCTGTTATCCAGTTTGTTGATGTCAGGGCTATGGTGGCGCTGTGTCTGTGCACTGGGAAGGGGGAAGGCTCAACAGAGAAAAATGGATACCCCTGGCACTTCTGTACAGAGCGGGTCTTGCCTTGGCCCTCACTTTGACAATGTCTCCCTGTACATCCCTGGTGCTCCCTGCGCGCAACCAAACCAGTACTGGTGCTCAGAGCGAGCAGGTCTGTCACCAGGAAAATTCGCTCATGGACACGGCCCCTTTAAGAGGCTTCTGCTGTTGCCGCTGGCTCCATCTCGCTCAGCCACTCAAGACCAGTCAGCCGTGAGTCCTTGCTCTGTCCTACCTTCTACGTTGCAGGGTGATTTCTTGGATTTCTCCCTAGGTGTATGGTTTGTTCATCTAGATCCCAGAGGGATGAACAGACCCTCTATCATCTACATCATTTTTTCCCGCTCTCTTGCTCTTCATTTTTTTTTTAACTTCAACAGCAGTACATAAGTCAATAACTACGTGTGAGCATCGGCCACAGGAAGATAAAATCAGAAAGTGATTTTGAAAACAATTTATACAATTTTCTGTTTGGGAAAATGCTTTATTAATTACAAGATTGACAGATATATATTTAGAGATAAACTAGTTTATAACTTGCTGTTTTTCTTGTCTTGAATGTGAGAACCTTCCTTCCAAATTTAATTTGTAGAATCATTTTACAATTAAAAAA